CGTAAACCCGTACAACTTTGTCAAATTACCACCAGGCGAGATGGTGGCCAAACGACATCCTATCGTATCCTAAATATAAAAAAGTTGAATTTTATTGCGTCTGTGATGACTAAACTATACTTTTTTCACTTGAGAATTTTCTTTTTAAAATCGTCCCTCATAAAATAAGCCATTCAAAAAATCACGATGTGTCCAGAATTCATCATTTATCCTTGGAGTTGTCGAAAGCAATTTGACACAACTTGCTACCAAAATCACATGTTCAATGTTAAAATGTTTAGCCAATTTGATTTCCTTACCAAATCAAAGCGAGACTATTATAAATCTTGCCCTTGCTCTACTTAAGACTTGGACTAATCAACTGTCTTACCAAGTCACTAAACACGCACACTTGAACAGTTATTTTATTACGAAACACAAACACAATCACCTCATTGTGCTTTGACAAAGCTTCTTTATCTTATCTTCTAATTGCAGTGTACTATTCTCATAATTTTTACTTACGAAAAAATGTTTCTTCAGTCTCACAGTCGTAGTTGAATCGTGGAAACGAAATAACGTTAGTTAATTCAGAAATAGTTTTAGAATCAGCATCCGAGTAATGTTTTTGTGAAATTACTAATTATAGAATAACCCTTTTTACTGTTTTTGTGATGTTTGCTTAAGTTTTATGAATCCTATGTTCAATACAACTTTCAGATGTTCCGTTGATGTTAAAATAAATGTATTCTTTTAAGATTAATATTTCCAGTCCAATTGCGTTGGTACATACAGGATTTATTTTTGCATATAATCGTGTTATGCACATCTCTGTGCCTTTCATCCACACTGTCAGTCATTGTTTTGAGTTACAAACTACTGTCAACGGGATTTCAAAAAAGTATTGGATTATGATCGATTTCGGGGACGCGCTGACAGAATCTAAATGACACGTAGCCACGAACCAGTGTACGAAACCGTCCAGATTTGAATATTTCCCCTACAGATACATATCTACCGTGTTTTGTAGTGTTTGGAAAATAGAATGCAATGCATTTGCAAGTATAAAACTATCCCAGTATCGCATAAATAGTACAACTTAATACGAACTACGAACTTGTTATTATTTATGTATGGGAGCAGGAGCAAGCGTTCATACTGAGCTTTACTTATTTAGAAAATAACATGAAATAGTACTTTGAGTAAATAACGAGATGCCAGCTATTCCTATTACCGTTGTATCAAAACTTTCCATCTAGTATTCGCTTAGTCAAAAGTTCTAGTTAGTATACTTACACTAATGAACATTTTACATTAACTTTGCTTTTATTTATTTATTTATAATTTCATATACCTACACCACACAGACAATATTACAAAGGACGACACATTACAAGTATGAGGTACATAGGTACTGCATATCCCTCAAGGGATTTCTTCCTGCAGACCTGCGACAGGAAAAGGAAATTAAATATAAGACACAGTGTAAATGATACATGCAACAGATACAAAACAATATAAAATAGCTTTTAGTTTTAAGTATGGTTTAACTTTTTTTTAATTTTCCCCAATGAGAAAGTTATGGTCTAGATTTCTATACTTAGTTATCAAAGCAAACACTTATAGAAATACATTCACATTCCATGTTATTGTTAACAATTTCGGATAATGTAATTATGGTAGTGAATTCATCTACATACGTATATGAATAATCAGCTCCAATAATAACTCATTTCCATACACAAGAGCTTTTAAATAAAGCAAATTATTCAATACCACATATACCAATATTCTATCGGAATAATTTCGAATCGAACTGATATAACTAGGCACGTATTCAGTCGCCAAATAAACGTGAACATCGTGAATACGTCTACTGCTGAACAAAGGCTTCTATCTTTAGAAGGGGTTTGCCATAATCCTCGTGATTGGCAGACGTCTTGGGGATCGTAGTAGGTAAGGTCACCAAAAATCAAAACACTTCTGTTACCTAGCTCTCGATATGGCCCAGGTCTAAAAGATACTGGGTCCAATCCAAATAAAACCGGTCATACCAAAAAACTCGAAAGCCGAATTTTTATTTCGTAAATCATGAATCCATTTCGGAATCACTACATAAACAGGCTGACGTTAATTTCAATTAATACATAAACGGGTTGAGAATGTATTTTTGTTAATTCACTTCATAAATGTTAATCAGGGAGCATCCTGTTGGCTTTTTGATTATTTAAAGGCCCCGGTTGAAGAGCAAATGACATTAATTTTGTACAGCGTGTTACAATAATAATCAGTATCGTAGTTGCTTTACGAGTGTACCTGTTATTTTTATAGCTGAGAAAATGTATTATGTGAATGTGAGAATCATCGTGGGTGAAGGCAGAATATGAAAAAAATTGTCGACAACTCACTGGCACTTTGATATGCGCGGGTATCGTAAGGTCCAATTAAGAGTAGTATCTAGTGATAGGTTAGCGAAACCGGGCAGCAAGGATTTTAGTTATAAACATGATCATTTTAACCTGCGATCCTTAAGTCGCCTGCCAATTAATGTAGTTTTTATAGAAAACTAGCTTCTGACAGCGGCTTCGCCCGCGTTCTCGTGCTATAAAAAATGGCCTATGTGTTATTCCAGACCCCTGTTCCAAATATCATCTCTATCATTTCAGCCGTGTCGCGGAGAACCTAACGGGTAACCGGGGCTCCGGCTCGACGTGCCTGAGAAGGAACGGGGTGGTTTTTAGTCAGTAAGAGTCTGACACTCCCTTCCGCATCACCCAGGCGGGAGCAGTCATTCGATGATTTTCCCCCCTTAAAAAAAAATCATTTCAGCCGTTTTGAGGTGTTAGAGTAACAGACAGACAGACACACACACAAACACAAACACACACACACACACACATTCTCACAAACGTTCTCATTTATAATATTAGTAGGATGTATTTTATAGTTTGACGCTTATTTTATACACAAAGCCCATAATACGGTAGTGGACTCTCATGAGCGGTTGATTTGAAAAAAGTATTGATAGCATTGTGAAATATTGGGGCATGTTAATATTTTCAAACCGTTTAATATTCGCAAACTAAGCCACTATTGCATTTTATGAATTTATTGCGCGCGAGGATTGCATATTTTAAAACATTGTCACGACAATTTTTCTATTATATTATTCCAAGTGTTATTTTAATATAATTTTTTTATAACCAACTGCCTCGTTGCCTCGTTGACTGCCTCGTTGGCCGAGTGGTCGCAAGTGCGATTGCCGGGCAAGGGGTCTCGGGTTCGATTCCCGGGTCGGGCAAAGTATTACTGAGTTTTTAAAAAAGTCTCAGTAGTAGCACGGAGTCTGGAATTGTGCCCGGTATATGGCAATAGGCTCACCCCTATTACATGGGACTCATAACATAAATAGTGAAAAGTGGGTGTTACATTGTACAGTGGCATAATGTGCACTTCTGCCTACCCCTTCGGGGATAAAAGGCGTGATGTTATGATGATGATGATTTTACAACCAACAAACCTGGGAGAGTTCACTGTGGATTTTGACTCTCTACATAAGAAGGGTATAAAATCTTGTACCTACATCAATTTGTAGACTAAAAAGCAATTAAACATTAACTTACTGCAAAGCATATTAGAACTACAGTAACAAAGTATGTTTGTTTGTTTGTTGAGTGCGAGCTTTCACAATTACATTGGCTCTCCACCTTACAAACTAAGTATTTTCAGGGCATTCACATCGTACTGTAATAAAACACTCACTAGTTTTCTCTTGGAACTCGATTTACGATTATAAGTTTGTATTTGCTAAAGTACCCGCTGCAAAGGAATTGAATTGAAAATAAAAAGAAAAAGTAATTCTATTTCAAAAAGTAATGGAAATTGCTATTCTAATGTCAAATGTTACTACGAACGGTAAGGTTTTAAATTTACAGTAAAAATTAAATACAACATAATATCACGACTTTTATCTCCGAAGGGGTAAGCAGAGGTGCACATTATGGCACTTAATGCCACTGTACAATGTAACACCCACTTTTCACTATTTATATTTATGAGTCCCATTTAATAGGGGGTAAGACTATTGCCAATATCGGGCACAATCCCAGACTCCGTCTTACCAATGACATTTTTTTAAACCCAGTCATACTTTGACCGTCCCGGGAATCGAACCCGAGACCCCTTACCCGGTTGTCGCACTAGCGACCACTCGGCCAACGAGGCAGGCAAATTAGTATTTTCGGTTTTTGAGAAGGTTACTATGACATACTACATAATAAAATGGTGTTTATCGTTCAGATACTCTAATCGATATCCTACTAATATTGTAAATGGGAAAGTATGTATGTTTGTTCGTTACTCCTCCACGCAAAAACTGCTGAAGGGATCGGAATGAAATTTAGAACAGCGGTAGATTATGGACCGAAATAAAACATAGGCTACATTCATCCCACGTGGACGCGGGATGAGCCACTAGGACAGGGATGGCGAACCATTGTCACGCGTGCCGTTGATGGCGCGGAACACAACATTTTGTGCACGACCGTGACTACCAAACTGATGAATGATCAGAAACCTACAAAGCATTTGTGGTGTCTCGAATATTGCAGGTGTACTCAGACTGCGGTGACAGCTTACCAGGTCAACTGTATACATTATTGCTACAGATTGACTGTAAATATCAGTCGATGGCACACATAAAACCGTAAAATACTTTTCTTCAAAGTAATTGGCACGCTAATGTGTAAAGGTTCGCCTTCCCTGCACTAGGAGAAGCTATTCTGAATATAATTTCATCACAACTATAGCAACTTTAAATACTTAACGTCATAGTACCATTCTCAACTGAAATCGATGATACATAGATAACACCTTTGCCACGTTTGAGTTATAACTTTCATTACATTCCAAATTACATACACCACCATCGTATTTTCCGCAGCATTTTGTTCACTGTACCAAATATACTACTAAAGTCTAAAGAAAATCTAAACCGTTATTGTTTTGTCCACAGATTTACGATGTTGATAAGGTGTTCGGCGGCACTATGTGTCGTCGTTTTCCTGCTTGGTGCACAAGCCAGCACAGAGGTAAGCTTTTATTATTTACTTTATTTCACTTTGCTCAACTTCATCTTACGTCAGATAAGTACCTAAGTCACAGATGTTTTTGTAATGCCTGCGCTACACATGTGCGCACTTCTTTGTGTAGCACAGATAAAAAAAGGATCAAAATGTCATGTCTGGTGCCTGCATAAAATAACAAGGTCCCAACTGCCTATTAATTGCAAAAGTAATTCAATAAATTCATAACTGATTTTTATAGTCTTAAGTATGTATTTGACACTTGAATGTTATATTATATTTAAACTCTTTTCACAGTACAAAGTATGAGACTTGACATAGTTAATCAAAGTTGTTTTCCACTCGTTTCTCACTCAATAACATGCACTGTAAACAACAAAAAATGCATTAGAGTTGAGTAATCGCATCATCTATTAGGCGGCGAATAATATTTCGAACAATATTAACAAAAATATTAGTCCGCGAGTCCCTAAAATAACTACACACTCCATCTTCTATTGTCACTCCAACGCCAGTCTTGGTTGATTCCCAGAAGACTACAATGTAAGATATTATAGTCGGTTATAAAACCCTCGTATTTTCTGATAAAGCATTTTACGTTCCAGACTTTAATCTTAAAAATGGTACTCGGTTAAGTGGAAATATTCATAATCCAACCATCTTACATTTTAGACAAGCAATTTAGATTATTCCGTTCAAAGTTTTTTATTACGACATTAGACCTAAAATTGGAGATTAGTTACACGATATATTAGCCTAATGATATCTCGGGATGTAATTAAATGTCAATTAATTGTGATAACTAATAACTTAGCTATTAACGTTAATAAAAACTGTAGCAATCAATGACCCACAAAATTGAACACAAAGTGACGTCACACTTTTTAATTGCCCACAGTCATAGACCGGGGTACATTACATACATATCTATATTAACACCAACTTTTTGACACTTATGTTATGAACCCCCGCGAAATCCCATGGTAACAAAGGTGATCTGATTGTGTACTAATAATCCAAAACTGAAAACACCCTATTATACTGTGTCTAATCAAAAACAACTGCTTGCGAACACTTGATTAAAAAGGCAAAAAGGTTTAATTAAAAACTGATCAAAGAGTAACATATAATTGTTTGACACAGACGGATGTTCGTTCAGCCTCTTCGATCATATTAGCGGAACGTCTCATTGTATGTTAAACGATCAGTTTATTTAGACAATGCAATTGCATCACTATTGCAAAGTTGATTACTTTTACCAAATTAAGTTAAGCAAAGAAAATACTTATTGTTTGCTTTGCGATGCAAGGCCATTGTTTTGTATTGAGATCGTTGAAAGTTGATCTGATAATACTTTTATATCAATGGTACCATTGATACCTACCTGCCTCGTTGAGCCGACTGGTTGCAAGTGCGACTTGGCAAGGAGTCTCGGGTTCGTTTCTCAAGTCGGGCAAAGTATTACTGGGTTTTTTTTAATATTTCTCAGTAGAAGCACGGATTGTGGAGTTGTCCCCGGTATATGTCAATAGGCTCACCTCCTATTACATAGGACTCATAATATAAATAGTGAAAAGTGGGTGTTACATTGAACAGTGGCATTAAGTGCAGTAATGTGCAGCTCTGTCTACCCCTTCGGGTATAAAAGGTGTGATAATAATTATTGTTTTAATTTGATACCTTCCTATGTGGTTAGCCTATATAGTACATAACTATCCAAAGTTTGTATTATAATCAACCTTAATAAACCCCTATCTGAACAAAGGCATGAGCGGATGTATGTATGTGTATGATATAATACACACAAAAGAGCAATGCTTATAATGAAACCTCAATTGTATCAAATCATAGTTCTCTTACAAGCAAGCCTCAAAGGCCATGAGATGACCAGATTAGTAATACATTAATGTTTAATCACTTCATCAATTACATAATAACTACAGAATATTTTGACACTACCATTTGAACATTACACTTAGTTACTACGATTACCATTATTAAGTATGTGATTAGCTATATCAATTCGGTTTAAACCACACTCATTAGTCCATATAATGATAACAGTCAGTGGAGTGTAATACTATCAGTATATTAATGCAATAGAGCCTTGTTTTGCAAAATTACTAATCATGCAACCAATCATACTGAGTTATAATCGATTCAATAGAGACTCGATTGTTATGTATTTTATCGATATTATTTTGATTGACACTTTAATATAATTATTTAAAAATAATGTCTGATACTGGCTGTTAGAGTCTTCTGGTCTCTGGTTAGTTCCCATCTGGCATTTGGCATTAATATCACTCATGCAAAAAGTGTAAAAATAAATGATAACAAAGACGAGGAAACGCTTGAACCTCTTGTGTTACAGGCTTAACATATGTAACGTTAGCGGTGTCTTGTATAAGCTACAGTAATTGCTTGCCATAAAACTAAAAGCTTGTTAGCCACCTTGCCACCGAAGAAAACAAAAAATCTTCAAACATGCAACACCGAAAAATTTAATTGTTACATTTAGGTGTCATAACGACGATTAAAGTCTTGGTATGTCCAAAACCAAATTGAATTCGATCCAACGAGCGATAGTGTGACGAATTGCATTTGTTTTATAAGGTAAAACAACGAAATTACCCATAAACATTTTAAATTCCTCCAGTATCGAGTGGGTCTCATAACAAATAATTACAAGTTATATAACTTTGTCGGCCGGTTCTGTGCAGTTAGTGAGATCGATTACAAGTCGATTACACCAAGACACTATGAACCGTCGAATCCATTAACTTTCATGTCACCGAGTGTCATGTTAGTACAGATTGGCGGCTCTGTGATTTTGTAAGTAGATAGACAAACATTGCGTCTGTGGGTTTGCGCTTTCGACACGTGTGTGATTTGGTAAAAGCAGTGACGTACGTATATGTATGTATGTATAATTCCCGCGTATGTTCGAGCGCACCGCAGTTATGTGATATTTGCTAAATTAATTTTGAATTCAACCTTTCAACTAGAATTCAACAACATTATATATTACAGCGTCAACATTGCAAACAAAACCGCAGAATGGTATTGCCACTGCAAAATTCTTTGAAATAAAACTTGAGTCATAAATTCTGACATTCTCTTTCCTTATCGCACCCAAGTTCTTGGCAAACATCCTATGTAAGTAAAACTACTAGTGTGACGGTTTTAAGTGTTTGGGAGCACTGTTGATCAAATTCGCACTTCTTTGTCTAGCGGTGGTTCATTGACTTTCTACGATCCGGAATTTATTTGCGTTACTCTCACCATCAATCAGGGTTATGTAACAATTAGATCAGAATGTTCTTAGTTTTGTTTGTTGTAGAGCTTATTGGTTGCCTTATAACTGTTTTGTTCGGTCACGGGTGGCGAGTGTCCTCGCAAACCCACTTTCCCCGGTTTGGCAAGCCACTCGAAATGTTTCGTTCTGTCACGACCGCCCCGTTATATCAATTTCCGAATGGAAAACTGTGAACTGACCACATTTCGGATTTGTTTCGATGTGGTCAGGGAATATCAATCCATTAGTTTTTTTTGGTAATATTCATTATACAGCCGCCGGCGACCCAAATTCATATTTGCCAGCCTAACATAGATTTTTTATTTTTATAAGTAATTAAATGATCGTTAACTAAATTCGTTTATCAAATGGTTTTGTAATATTTTTTTCTAATCCATCACTATATTTGAGAACACAGAATATAAAATTAAAATGAAAAGCATTTGCAGGTACGAAAATAACTGGAGAAAATAATATGACACCGTTTCGTCTGGCATCATATATTTCAGTACTTTCCTATTAAAATTAATTTAACGTCCGACCTCAAACAGTATGGGTACACAGTACGCCCATAACAAAGATTCATTGCCATAATGTTGTCACACACAAGCCAAATTGACTAGCGGTGTAACGAGATTCCCAAATATGGGCTCGGTAATATGACGGGCGGTCTATACAAAGTTTACTTCAGCATGAAGGGGGACACTAAAACCTTCGCGGACTTACTAGCCTATTTATTAAGACCTAAGTACCTAGGCTGCCTAGATTCACGAAGTGGTTCCTATATACAAAGCGATAACAGGTTATGTCGACGTGCATTGGAAAGCAACTTACAGCCGACTTAAGCCAAGAACGGTGCCTGCTTAGTAGATTACGATAATCTCTTATCTCGTACAATAAATAACTTTGTACGGAATGAGATCAAGAATTTAATTAGTCAACAGCCGGTCGTTATAAAATATGCCAAAGCGAACTTTTATAAGATCTCTCTCTCTCTGTGTTCTTGAAGATCCGTAAAATGTCGGAAATCAAAGTCGAGAGTTTCCTGTAGTCGAAGAAAAAATCTTCGTAATGATGAATGAGACTAACACATTGGAATGATAAAGCGTCGAAAACTTCTGACTGTAGGTAATCAATCTCTTTATAAAGTGAATGTGTCACTTGGCTGGATATTAATAAAATATTACAATTTCTCCAAAAAGCCAGATGCCACAAAGCGAGGTAGGTTGTGGGCCGAATCAAACCATGTGACGACAAAAACTTATTTGACAAAGCGTAGCGTGGGTGGAAATTACTGAAGGGTGCTTGGTGCCCCGCTTTGCATGCCAGGCACTTTCCGGAAAAATTCAAACATTTTCAATAAGTGCCAAATTTTTTGTTGCCATTTATACCACCCTCAAAAGCTTCTCCAATTTATTGATCAGGTTTTAACATTGCCTGTCTATTACCACAACGCCAATTTATACTAAACAACTTTCAAACAATTTAAAGAGTATTTAAAAGATTCTTAGCAAGACAAATTAGTGCCCACAGCAGCAGTCAAAGTTTCCCCTTTGACTAAAAATACGTCATTCACTTCTTGTTGGTTTCAAAAGGGAAGTACCAAATGGATGAGCAGTAAAGCTTTGATCCTTCTAAATTAGTTATTATGAATTTATCCACCACAATCGCTAGAGATAGCGGTTGGCAAATACTTCAAGAAATTTAACATCAAAGTACACTTAAACGCCTGTCGGGAACATATCACAAAGTTTTTATTGAAAATATAGTCGAATAATTCTGTTTTTTTGTTCACAGGGAAACCTCTTCACGTGTCCAAATGGTAAGTGGGAATCTGTTTATTGTTTTAATATATATTTAGTTGTTATTACTTTTGCCAATACTTCTAACTTCGGGATTGGACTTTCTATTTAATTAAAATCGGCCCCAGTGCCTCGGTTTACCTTTGGGAAATATAAAACTTGCTAACATTGTTGTTTTAGCGGTTTAATGAACAGGATGAACATGGACTTTCATTGTTTTATTTTAGTTGTTTTAGATATACGATTTGTTGTGTTTGGGTATTAGGGTAACACTTAATTTAGCGCGTATCCTTAATGGCATATCTTAATAAGTTATCTTTCTATTATTTAGACGACGAGACCTTTAGTCTGCAGTGGCCACTTAGATATCGGCTATTGATAAAGATAATGTGTGTACATCTAAAGTAATTATCTTAACAAATTTACATATTTATAAAGGATTATTATTACGTCTTTTTTAGTAGATAGAACAAGATTTTAGATCTCATACTTCTTTAAATATACTTTTTAATTAAACACTTTCATGTAAATAAAATATCGATTAGTCGTAATGCTACCCATACCCATAGCAATTAGACAAAATGTATTTGTCCGCATTATTATAATCATAATAAATTAACAAACACTTTACAAAAAAACGTCTTCATAATTTATGAATAAAAACCGCGTCTTTCCGCTTAATTAAAAAGGTTTTCTTGGTTATACGAAACTTAATCCGAATAAACATTTTTAGACCTTCAGAATGTTTACCGAAAACTTCATTCATTATATAACTTTGCATAATTGTGAATACACATTCAGTTTTATATCTATACCTACGAGGTTAAATATTTATAAGTTATAAATAAATTTATATTATATGTAAGAAAACATATATAGTGAAATGTGATTACAATAATTATATAGACAGAAAAAATTTAGAACAATTTTAAATTAAGATATCCCTGATCGAATACGAAACATATTGAGAGTAAAAAATCAAATAGGTAAGAACATAAGTTACAAATATCCTACTAGGTACATAATATGTATCCTGGACCTCTGCCTACCCCTTCGGGGATAAAAGGCGTGAAGTTATGTATTTAACTAACAAATGAATATTCAGAGTATAACGAGTAATGAAGTAAGTAAATGGCTGAAGTAGGCAAACACTTTGACAATTAATCACGTCTATTAAATGCATAACGCTACTGTATTTAAGCAATAGCAGTGAGTAGGTTGCGTGTACAGTGAAAAGATGAAGCGGGTAAAATAGAGACTATAATGTATGGTATAAGGTTGGATTTTGCCTGGTGGTTATTTTATATTCTGCTATAGGACACCCCTGAAGCTCTTAGACCTATGTTACTAAGGTAATTCTAGATAACAGACCTTAAGAAAGACAAACTAAGAACGAAATTACTACAACTTGGCAGTTACTAAATAGAACTCTTCATGTATTATACGGACATAGTACATATACGAAATACCACTCAAAAGAAATGTTAGAATCCCGCTATCGCTAATCTCGTTACCCAATGATCTCCCTAATCAGCCAGTCAGCCATCTCAACGTGCGTAATAATTAAAGCTACCTAACGTTACTTAGAACAATGTGTGGCGTATTACTAAAATGACGTAAGCGACTCATAAGCTCTCAAAGCAATTTCATAGCAAACGCATAAATTAATAATTACCTACTTTAGAATGAAACGTGAATCACTTTTCGATTGATTTTAAATTAGCACGTAGTATTAAAGTTCAGTGTTTTGTTTCTTTTTAAGTTTTGGCAGCGCCTTCTTTCATCGTAAAAAGTATTTAACATGCATTCAGATCATGGTCTACCTCTATGATAAATGTCATCTAAATGCGTCCAGCTGTTTCAGTGTTAGACGAATTAACAAACGTTCATGTTATATGTTTCCCTTGCTTTTTGCTTGTGTATCATTTTCTATGCGCGTTCTAAAATATTCTATAGCTGAAGCATAATAATAGGGTAGTTGCCAGGGTATCAAAATTAAATATCTAATTAGTCCGTCAATCTAACTGATGAACAATGAAAAATATTAGATAGGTTTTTTTAATTTCTTGTATTAAGTTACAATATTTAGATAAAATGGCGCTATGTTTAGGAGTGGGAGGTTGTTACGTCATAACGTGCTACAAAATGTGGCACGCTGTGACGTTACAAGATATTTCAAATTAATATATCGTCGAAAGTATTTAATTTTGTGATAAAAGAAAAAATACTTGTCTAAAGTTTTAAATTAATGTACCAGACGGACATTAAAATAAAATTCAGGAAACTAGCCTATTGAAACTACAATCTACTTTCTACACAAACAAAAACCTGACAAACAGACATAAAGTATCCATTACCTACATAGAAACAACATAGCATTTCATCTCAACAGAAACTAAACCAATACTAATATAGAGATTTTCTTACAAGATATGATATTCATGCAGTTCGATTTTGTAGCGGTTTCTAACGACCTTGCGCATGCGCATCCGGCAGTCTAAGCTAAATAAGCGGTGACTACATCTTATGGAATTTAGCGTCACTTTGACTAACGACTTGTAAAACTTACCTAACTAGCATGTTTGTATATACTTGACTTTATGTCTTACAATATCATGCAATGAAATAGCTGCTTTATTTAAAACTAGCTTTTACCCGCGGCTTCGCTCGCGTCACAAAAGGATAAAAAGTAGCCTATGTGACATATACCAATACACACAGCGCCATCTATACCAATACTTTTGTTTTCCCTCGGAAATATCAAATTTTTCCGGGATAAAAAGTGCCCTGTTATTTAATCCAGACTTCTAACTTTACGTCTGCAAAAATTCAAAGCAATCGGTTTAGTATTTACGGCGTGAAAGCGGAACAAACAAACAAACTCAGTTTCCAATTTATAATATTAGTAAGGATCAAATAGTTTTACAAAATACAAGCTTCTGCTAGCGGCTTCGCCCGCGTTCTTGTCTAAAAAAAGTAGCCTAAGTATTATTCCAGACCATAATCAACCCCTGTACCAAATTTTATCCCGATTCCTTCAGTCGTTTTGTCGTGACTAAGTAACAACATAAACTCACAAATCATTTATAATATTAATAGGGTAGTTTCCTAAATTTTATTTTAATGTCCGTCTGGTAGTTTATTTTAAAACATTAGACACATTAGACATTAACATCTTCTCACAAAATTAAATGCTTTCGACGATATATTGATTTGAAATGTCGTGTGACGTCACAACGTGCTACAAAATATAGCACATTGTGACGTAACAACCTCCCACTCGTAAACTTAACTCCATTTTATTTAAGTATTGTAACTTTATACGACAAAATAAAAAAATACGTGTCTAATATTTTATCAACTGACGGACTAATTCGATTTTTAATTTTCTTACGCTGGAAACTACCCTATTAGAAATAGGCATCATAATTGACTATTTTCCTTAAAGAATCTCGATTATCTGTTATGTAGTTAGTCCCAAATAATAATACCTAATAAGAAAGCTTATTTTAATACAAAATGTCATTCAGCTTCAATTTGCTAGCAATTCCGAAAAAAAATTAAATCTGAGATATTGTAAATAAATTATACATACTATTCTAAATCCAAAAGAGAATAAGTATAGTATAGTAGAGTCCCTGAGTGACTCGAAACTAGTAGAGCATTTCTCAGTATATTTACGTGAGTAACTCGTCCGATCCTAGCAATTAATGAAATGTGCAGTATTCTTAATATATTACATTTACTTTTACTACGTGTAAAGTTTAAACAAAATAAATGTATTTCCCGCATATGCTAACTAAAAGAAAGTTCTTTTCTCATTCGCAATGAGTTTTCTATGCGCACCTATTGCATATCAAATACAATTTTCTTATTCAATTTCCAGTATAGGGTAGTTACATTTGCATTACGTATCAATATACTCTTTGCATCAGGTAAAGTAAATAAATTACAGTCGTTTTACTTAAGAAAGTATTTGCTACGGTACTTCTTCCAATAGTTTCTGTATACAAATCATTAAATATGCTAATTACAAACTGTAATTGTACGTTACGAATGGTTATAGACAAGGGTCTTAAAAGTGTCAGTATCTTTTGTTCAGTATTGCTACGGCATATACACAAAAATAGTTCAAACAATAAAAAACGTTAAACAAAAGCACATATTATAAAAATTACAACGGAAAAAATCTCCACTCAAATAGCCCGTCAACAATCAGACCATCACGGAAACCTTCATTGAATTTCGAAATTAATTACGAGGGAAATTAAGTCCTTTTCTCGCTATCATTTCATGTCAACCCTTTCAACTTTTCAAGCCGGTTGACCTACTAAAGCATTCTATTGGCAATCACGAGCCGAAACGCAAAGGGAAATGAATTGAGTTTGTCACTACGACGACGGTTTTCATTCCCCACATAATTAGCCTAGGAAATTGCTTCGAACATACGTTGCTGTGTAATCTATGTAGCTGTGTAACCTGTGTAGACTGTGTAATCAGACGTTGAGTGTTAAATACGCGTGGGTGTTAAAATACCACCGCTGATTGGCTGTCAAAAAGATTTGATTTGGGGATGAAAGGCAGGATATTGATATGGGTCATTAATATAGACTGTACATTATTTTGATTACGCTTACATATGTATATTGCTTGATTAATTACATGTGTGGGATTCTTTCAGGTATCTGTAGGTTTGAATACTAATCATGAGTTACATTCTTAAGTAGAGCAATTTTTTTCGAAAAATTATTAAAAACAAACATAACATCATGCCTTTTATCTTCGAAGGTAAGCAGAGGTGCACATTATGCCACTGTACGATATAACACCCACTTTTCACTATTCATGTTGTAAGTCCAATGTAATAGGGGTGAGCTTAGTGTAAATTGGAAATTTTATACCTCGATAATTGTATATTATATTTAAGTACACAATTTCAATATAAGAGTTTATATTGAAATTGTGTACTTAAATATAATATTTAATTAATGAATTAATTACAAATTTAGTTCGTTTGACT